ATAAGAATCCAGTCCGTTTCGCAGAGAAAACACAACTATTTACCATTACAAAGAGCAACTGCTTAACGCTGTTTAAGGAATTAATCTCTGAATCTTACAAGAAACCCTTTACGTGCAAAATGCAGTGTTACTAATTATTATAACAGGTGGTAAATAAAGTCACCAATGGGGTGTAAAGGTTCAATCGGTTATGCATTTGTAATCCTAAAATGGATTCGGATGAATTTGAGTCTTCCTTCCTGCCAGTTTTAATAAGCTCGTAAAGGTAATAGCATCGATTTTAATTTAATTTATAAATAAACAGCTGGAATAAGGTGTCTTCGAAGCAAGTCACCAAGTTTATAAGAATGCTTGGGTATGTGTGCTTGGCACATTGGTATTTTATGAACGGTATCTCCATGATTTATGTACGTTTGATGGGTTTTTGAATCCTTCTTTATGTACGAAAGAAAAGGAAGAAGTTGGGAGGGGGTGGTCTGTTACTTTTTCTGAAAGAACTGGCGCGTGCTGGCCAGAAGAGATCATAAAGACAGATTTTATGGCGCCATCAAATAAACAAGTTAAGTTCCTTTCTCGCACTTCCTTTCCTAGCTGTGCATCTTTGAAACCTGTGCCTCTCTGCTGATCCGATGTTGAAGAGCCGACTGTCAAGTGTTTTGACTACGAACACCATTTATTCGTACCTACAGTTTTTGCATCTGTACTTTAAAAATAGTAAGTATTTTGCTTTCTACCATAAACACTGATTGTTCTTATTCCTCAGGTACTACTAACCAGTCTTTATTGAGAAACTAACAGTAGTTCAGCTGGTGAAGAAGTTTGCAAATTTTATGAAACCCAAAGATTCATTGTTGCGTTTACGAGAGGTCGCCATTGGGCCTTCCCCGATGCTCAGTAGCAATTCTTAACTTCACTTTCAGTTAGACGTAGAACGTAAAGTACTTAACATTTAAAATCTGAAATGTGTTACAATACCGATAATTCACTGTATATTTTGTTAACGATTCAACAAGTTTCAACAATGAAAGTATAGGTAGGCCGTTTGTCGCTGGCTTCTCACCTTGAAGGCCCGAGTTGGCGCCCGGGGCACTGTGGCACGTTTTTCTCCGATTCATTCTATCAGTGCTCATATATCATCTGGGGGATGGACAATGTACCCGTCAATGACTAAGTTCCACAGAGACAGTTTCATCCCATCGAAACAATAAATTTATTTGAATCTTACAAGAAACCCTTTACGTGCAAAATGCAGTGTTACTAATTATTATAACAGGTGGTAAATAAAGTCACCAATGGGGTGTAAAGGTTCAATCGGTTATGCATTTGTAATCCTAAAATGGATTCGGATGAATTTGAGTCTTCCTTCCTGCCAGTTTTAATAAGCTCGTAAAGGTAATAGCATCGATTTTAATTTAATTTATAAATAAACAGCTGGAATAAGGTGTCTTCGAAGCAAGTCACCAAGTTTATAAGAATGCTTGGGTATGTGTGCTTGGCACATTGGTATTTTATGAACGGTATCTCCATGATTTATGTACGTTTGATGGGTTTTTGAATCCTTCTTTATGTACGAAAGAAAAGGAAGAAGTTGGGAGGGGGTGGTCTGTTACTTTTTCTGAAAGAACTGGCGCGTGCTGGCCAGAAGAGATCATAAAGACAGATTTTATGGCGCCATCAAATAAACAAGTTAAGTTCCTTTCTCGCACTTCCTTTCCTAGCTGTGCATCTTTGAAACCTGTGCCTCTCTGCTGATCCGATGTTGAAGAGCCGACTGTCAAGTGTTTTGACTACGAACACCATTTATTCGTACCTACAGTTTTTGCATCTGTACTTTAAAAATAGTAAGTATTTTGCTTTCTACCATAAACACTGATTGTTCTTATTCCTCAGGTACTACTAACCAGTCTTTATTGAGAAACTAACAGTAGTTCAGCTGGTGAAGAAGTTTGCAAATTTTATGAAACCCAAAGATTCATTTTTGCGTTTACGAGAGGTCGCCATTGGGCCTTCCCCGATGCTCAGTAGCAATTCTTAACTTCACTTTCAGTTAGACGTAGAACGTAAAGTACTTAACATTTAAAATCTGAAATGTGTTACAATACCGATAATTCACTGTATATTTTGTTAACGATTCAACAAGTTTCAACAATGAAAGTATAGGTAGGCCGTTTGTCGCTGGCTTCTCACCTTGAAGGCCCGAGTTGGCGCCCGGGGCACTGTGGCACGTTTTTCTCCGATTCATTCTATCAGTGCTCATATATCATCTGGGGGATGGACAATGTACCCGTCAATGACTAAGTTCCACAGAGACAGTTTTATCCCATCGTAACAATAAATTTATTTAGCGATTGTAATGTATACCAGTGAACCAAGGGTAGCTATGTTCATGTCTAATTTGTGAGTGTGTCAGTTGATTTCTCGTAATAATGTGTCCCGGGTAGAAAATTAAGTCGCGCTGACTACAACACTTAGAATTTGAATGTAGTACTGCTAGGTACCACTTTTTCACATTCAGAACCACATATTGACAGTCACTGAAATCAATTACTCTATCCAATTAGAATATTTTATGTCAAAAATCAAATGTTCAAATATGTCTGAATATAACTTTATAGACCTAATACGGTTTTGGATGGCACTTTAACACACTTTAGCATTATAAAAATACAGACATTGGCTGGTATAAGTTAATTGAAAAAATATTGTACAGCCATAATTTAAAGTAATTAGAAGAGAGACCTGATGACTTGTTTATCTGAAAAAAGCTGTTTGAGTGGTTTTATATTTTTCACGCCAAAGTTCATGTATACATGAACTCCTATGAGGTCATGTAAATTCGACTTTTTATTAGTTTTCAAGTTACAGTGGTCACTAATTCGTTGGCCTAATGACGAACTAAATCCATTGATTAGAGTCCTTCTTGAGAAACTAACAGTCGTTAAGCTGGTCAAGAAATCCTCCGCCTTTTATGGAAGCGTAAATAATATTGTGTTCTTAAGAAATCGCCAACGGCCCCAGATGAATCCAGTCCATACCTCCCATTCTGTTTCCAAGACCTGTTTCAGTGTTATCTTCCAAGGTACGTCCGAGTCCTCCTGTTGGTCTGTTAAGCCGGCTACACACTGTTCAGTTCTATCATCTACACGTTGAGGCATACCTGACAGGTATACCTGTACGTGTGTAGGAAGAACAATATTCAGGATATCCAACTAAGGTTTCATCAGCGTTTCTCAAGTCCCCATGCTTCAATCCCTTATCATCTCACCCTCCTTCGTATGATTATCCTCATAATATCTGGCAGAGAGCACAAATTACAAAGTTCTTCATCTTATAGTATTTTCTTTCTTACGTCCAATTACCCCCCTCAACATCCTGTTCTCAAATGTTCTCAATCAGCCTTCTTCTGCCAATGCGAAAGACTATCTATTACAGCAAGTAAAATTATAGACCTAGTTTAATTTGTTTTAAATGTGCATCGAAATGATATAAACTCAAAATAGGTTCCGGACATGTTCACACTTGAAGTAGACATGTGAATTTTCCCACAACCGAAGTTTTACAACCTTATGTAAATGTCACTAAGCTGTACGGAAAAGGTTCATGTGTAATATTTTAAATGTAGCCTACGTCGAAAATTTGATACGTGCTAACTGAATGAAATTCGTGAGCAGCTATTCCTATCGTGGCCATTTTCAACGAAATCACGTGGTCCCTAACTTGGAACGCTCAGGAGGTTCTACAAGTCTCGTTTAGTTCACACGTTTGCCATGTACGGAATTTTTAAAATAATCCCAAAATAACTTTAACGGATTTCCCAACATTTTATAATCCGTTATGGGGCATTAGAATTAATTTTTTAAAGACAAACAATGAAGAACAAGTAATTATATTCGCAATCAATACGAAATTACTCATATTCACACGCAGCCATATACCCTGTAGTACGAATTTGATCTGTTTTACATTCATACTACACGCCTTATACCAGCTGCGTTTCTGCGGTGGTATGACACAACGATAGTACACCGTCAAACACGCAGAAAACACAGTATCTGTATCAGTTGAGTGACTGGTTTGTTCTAAACTACATGATTATTTTCATTTTTATTCTAAACACATTTTATTCCTGATCATTACTGTTTAACGCAATCGACACTATAACTTTATGTAGAATTTGTATTCACAATCTTGCTTAAGATAATGTTTTACACCTGAAGATAGCACTTGAGCCAAAACGTGTAGTGTAGAATGAAACTGATATTTAATATTTATACTGTGTCGTGCTACTTATGTTGAGTGAATGGAGTAGAAAATTTGTTCACTGAAGAAATGGAAACAGCTTGTATCATCACAAAGTAATTACTAATTTAGCTCATTGCGTAACAAGAAACAATGAAAGAGTAATTTTTGGGACATGCGTTGAATGCCTTTGAAAAGGCCATGTCCTTGTGTAAAGACCAGAGTCATCAGCGGTAACACTGGCATTCAGCAGTCAACAGTCACATCCTTCGGCCACAGGGAATGGAACTATCAAAATAATTTATGATCAACCTTCGTTTGCGAGTCTCTGATTATGCAGAATTCAATTGTAAATTGAACATTAAAGCTACTGGATGATTGGTGTTGTCGTTATATAAATCTTAATATGAGTTTAATTGACATTATTCTCGACAAAACGGTAAATAATTACTTGCCCGTAGTAATTCTAACGTGTTAAAACTTTAAATATAAGCTTGAAGAGTATTCATGGCAAATTGTATTGAAATCGAATTAATTGCATATTTTCTGTTTTCTGAGATATATTTGATGCTAATGATGTTTTGATAGTTGGCCGTGCTCCCATCTCCAGATGACTGTTTATTAAATGTTTACCTTCGATTCAATCAGTGTGAAACTATGAAATGCGATATGATAGTTATTTTTGTTGGTTGTGACCTGCCTTAAAATCTATCAGTAAGAGAAATAACCTAAAACGTATGGTGGAATGTTACATGTCTTACCTCGTTGCTGGCTGCGGAAGATTTCGAAGCTGACGTATCGTTAAATAGAAAATAATCTTATCGACGTGATAAATTTCGGTTACTTCAACTGGCGTGCATCAACCTCATCGATCAGATCGAATACTGCATAATTTAAATATAATGCTGAGGACGCTATGAAAAAACCTGTGTAGCTGAAGGCAATGTAGGACGGGCGGGAAGCCTACTACTGGCTAGTAAGAGGAACATGGAGGCAGCCATATTGAATTATCGACCTGCTCTTTGGAATGGTAGATTTGGTACCGCCCATCACAGCCAGAGTAATGTCAGCGGCTTGCTATGGTAATATCTTGGAACCTACCAGCTGTCAGTTCTTTCTTGCACGTGTCCTGATTAATATGATTTCAACATATATTATTATTTATATTTTATTGCTGTTATAGTTATAACAACAATAAAATCATCAGTGATACAAGAGGCGTGTGGGACAGAAATCAAATCCGTTGTATCAAACATGAGAAGCATCGCTGAATTAATAGGTTCAGAATTATTACTATTGTTGTTTGTTTCTGTTAATTTAGCATTATCACAAACACTCCGAAACTTTTATCGAGAATGAAATAGTACGTCATCCATGCTCTTAAAAATTAATAGAGATAAATACTGTGGATTGAATGTATTTCTAAAAGTCTGAAGGATTTTGAGGGTTTGTGTAAAATTCAATTACTTCTGCTTGCGTGCTAAAAAATGTCCTCTTAGCGAATTTTTACACATCGCTTGTTACTTCATGGTGATCAAAAAGACACGCAACCCATATTAAAATACTTATTGATGGTTCGATGGTTGTAATCTAATACGGTTCGATGGGAATAATTTACACACAGTGCCGCTGTGACTGTGCAAGAGCCTACTCAGGTCACGTCATGCTACAACCTGTTCGCTCCATTTCCTCAGGTATGTTTCAAATTTCGAAATGCAAAGATGTCTTTCTCACAAGTGCAAAGACTGTTACTGTCGAACACTAACTGGGATCTCGTTCATACTCAGGTAGACAGAATGCGTTTAGAGATACATTTCCGCAG